AACAGAAGAAAAGCCTTAGCAAATAAGTTCATTTTACCCCAACCATGGAATCTTTAGTATTAATGTAGCCTTTAAAGATGTTTATTCAAGGCGAGACGTGGAAAGGAGCAGCGGTGTTGGGAAAGGAAGGGGAGAACCTTTTAAATACAAAATTCAAGGAGTATAAAGTGTAAGTTGATAGCAACAAGATAGGAGGGAACAGATAAGAGGCATAATTTATTCTTCATAGTTAACTGCTGGAGCTTTCGAGTGCAACAGCATTAATTTTGTTTTAAAATGTTTCTTCTTTTTTGGAGATGAATGTTTCTTTAATCTCGAGGTTTTATGTATTCTCTCCCCCGCTGCCTCCTCTTAGAGGGTGGGATATAACATAACTGATGTCAAGCTGATTGTATTTAAAAGCAATAGACAAAATAAAAAATATTTGAAAATATATTTCATGGTGATTATGTCATATTTTATGGTTTGATAGAGGCACTGAGAGTCTCCCTGGATGCCTTAATTTGTATAGAAATTGTAATCATTTGTTCATTCCAAGGTGAAAATTGCATTTTTTAATTTAAATTGTATTTTGTATGATAGCCTATTATCTACTAAAATTGTCCTCTTGTTCAGAACCCATACACAGAATTCATGCTTGTTAGGAGTCCGCTTATATTCATAAAAGGGTCGCGTTTGGCATGTGTGTGTGTGTTTTTCAACTATTTTTTTAAAAAGCTCTCTTTTTTTATTCACGGCAAATTGTTGGAAGAAAGTTGAAGTAATTTAAATGTTTTGTTCTTCTTGATTAGTCAGGGTCAAGGAGAGTGAACACGGAATATTTGAGTGGGGTTAGAATTGCTTTCCACCGTCTTGTCTTCTCAAGAGTTTGACAACAAGCTTTGTGTTGGATTTTAACCCCTTAGCCCACCCTCCTCGCAAGTAGTTTGTATTAAAGAAAATATTTCTGGAATGTACCATGAACTCTATGCGATGTTTGAAGAAGTTGAGACTCCTCATAAATGTACGCACTCCAGGAATGTTTGAGACTACAACCTGGTGCGCATTGCACACCACTCTCGTTGTAATGTAATTGGTTACCCCTTTCATTTAATTAGGTTATCAGTGTGACAATGCACGGTCAAACATGGTATTCTTCTAGGAAATTACCACAGTATACAGTGAAAACATGGATTGCCCTCGGTTTCAACTTGGGTTACTTGGTAGCACTCTCACCTCTGGGTTGGAGGTGGTGAGTACAAGCCCCACATCAAGACCTGGGCATAGTCTAGGCTAACGCTCCAGTGAAGGAACACTGAATTGTCAGAAGTGCTATCTTTGGATGATTAAATTGAGGCCCAATCTACCTGTTCAAGTGGATGGGATCATTGAGTAAGCCTTAAGCCACTCCGCCACAATATTAATATTAATACTTGCATTTGATAATAATAATCCTTGCATTTGATATAGCACCTTATCAAGTCATTGAGACATCTCAAAGCACTTCACAGGATATATTGTAAAGTGAATTGAATGTATATTTTGGGGGTGAAACAATACCTTACTCCCTGTTTTAAAAGAACTCCTTCAACTATGCCTTAGGTCAACATCTTTCAATCTCTTATGTTCCTGCTTGGTACTCAGTACATTTAAATGTTTTGAGATGTGAAGGATGCTGTTTAAATGAAAGTTGTTGTTCATTACAAAGTCAGTTCAGTTAACTGAGCATTGAAAGAGGTGAAAAGAAAAAAATGGATTATAGATACCATGACAAAGCGTCTAAAACATTAGTTGTCCATTATAAAGAATACAGATAGATCCTTTACCAGTTAAATGATCTGAAAATTGGATGTACCATTATGAATAAATAAATGGATTCTATCCATCAATCTTCATGATCCAAGACTATGGTTAAATTCTAATCCATCTGTGCAACGTAATCTGTGCAAATGTCTGCTAATAAATAACCTCAACAAATGTTTACAGAATACCTGGACAGGTGGAAACAAACCCCATAATCCTCCAGGAAATGAGGGAGGTTATAGCTGAGCTTCTGCTTAATATATTTTCAGGGGTTTCAGATACAGCTGTTACACTTGAGCGATGGAGGATAGAATCATAGAATTAAGACACAGAATTAGGCCATTCAGTTCACCAAGTCTTCGCCTGGATTTTCCTCTAGCCATTTTCCTCATAACCTCCTGTTCCCTCCCTGGACCTTTCAATATTCTCATTTTTTAAGCAAAAAAAGCATAATCTTTTTATGGGAAAAATTATTCCCATAATTCAAATGGGGCGTTGGATATGCAGCTGCAAAGTCCAGTTCAGTTGGTGCAACTTGGAATGTTTCATAATGTTCTGTTGAATGCTGTAGCTGTTCTTCCAGAGAGCATAATGGAGTAGTCAGGCTGCATTCAGAAGCTATGGGTCATTTCCTTGTAAATCTACTGCAACTCTTTGAATGGGTAACTGAATTACTGACCAAGGGATGTCCAGTGAATATAATTTCCTTGGATTTTCAAAAGGCTTTTGCTAAGTTTCTGCATCTGAATTTTGAGACTGGTGGAATTAACAGCAACTTAGCTCGGCTGGATTGAAGAGTGACCTGCAATAGGAAGCAGAAGGTGAGGATATGAATAAGGAACGGCTCTGTCCTGGGGGCAGTGGAGAACAGAGGCCTGTTTGGGTTCCCTGCTGTTTGCTGTCATTTGTAAATGATACAAAGGGGAACCTTTTCAGAATTGCAGTAAAACTATTTTGATGACGCCAGACAAAGAGAGACAGAAGGTGATGGTGTTCAGAAGGACCAGTTAAAATCAACGGGGTAAAGAGTGACAGCTGGATTTATAAAGTGGATAAAATGTAAGGCAGGAAACATGAAACATGTGCACATGGTAGATGGGTGTCCATTTGCAAAGGGAAAGAGTTGGTTGTGATTATCAGCGATTCAAAATAACATGCAGTCAATGCAACGCTGTTGTTAATCAGGTTAATCAAGTCCTGGCACATGCCCCAAGGGCATTGATTAATAGCAGGTTATTTTAACCCTGTCTAACCCATCAGAGAGGCCACATTGGGAATAGAGTGAGCAGCTTTGGTCACCTTATCTTCACAAGGACTGTGGATATTTGGCCAATGTTTAGAAGGGAGGAACAAGGATCACTCTAGTGTTCAAAGTTGGCTCAGTTGGTTGCATTCATCTGAGTCAGAGGGTTGTGAGTTTAAGCCTCACATACGAAGAGTGTGCGCAAAAAGTGGGTAGATGGTTCTGAAAGGTTGCAAAATTCTTTGGTTCTATGAATCTACATCGGGCCTTTGAGCTCACAGTCAAGACTGTGACACTAGTGCAGTACTTGGCATCATCAGAGATGCCATATTTTGGCTGATATATTAAGCTGAGGTGCTATCTGCCTGTTCAGGTGGACATCAGAGATCCTACAAGAAGAGAGTATCTGCCTAAATTATGAGCTCAAAACTCCAACATGTGGTATAACTTAGATGGAAGATTGGCTCGGTTGGTAGCCTGGGAACTGGGGGGTATTCTGAGTATTCTCACAATCAAAGAAGAATATAGCACAGAAACATTTGAGTCCATAAATCCTGCTGGATTTTTTTTGCCACACGAGTGACCTGGACTAATCCCACGCTTTGATCTCCACCATTTTCTTACCTAAACGGCCACAAGCTCCAAGCGTCTTGTGCTGGTGATGTTTGGGTGCACGATACTGGAAGCTCTTTGCCGTCCGGGTGCCCGTCACGTGTGAGCATTGCCCTGTGTGGCACATTGGCACCGAAGCCCGCGAAAAATAATCAAAGTCAACGGTCAGGAGTAAGGCCGTAAATCGTCTCGCCCAATATTCATCCAGAAAATGTGTTTTGTTTCTTAAAATACATACAAATAAGCAGCCATCTTGGGCGAGGCATTGGTGAACAGCACTTGGTATTGGTAGCACCTTCTCTTCACCTTGTCGTCACACTGGCTCACTTACAGACCAAGTAGTGGGTTCAAACCCAACATCGGGACTTGAGATCAGTCTAGGCTGAGGCTCCAGCGCTCTGCTGGGTGAGTGCTCTATTGTCTGAGATGTTGTCGGTCAAACGAGATACTAAACTGCCGGTTCAGATGGATGTTAAAGATCTCAAAACACTAATGCTCGCTTGGCTCTATTCATCCTTGCTCACCTCCATTGGTTACCCATTCCCCCAGAAGATCGAATCCAAGATCTCCTTCCTCACCTTTAAATCCCTCCACAGCCTTCCCCACCCTACCTCTGCAACCTCCTCAAACCCTAGTGACCCGTCCATTCCCTTCACTGATCGAGCACAGCCTGCTTCATGCCTCCTGCCCTATCCGCCCTACCATAATCTGCCCCACTCTCTGGAACAATATCTCAGAGTCTCTCCAACTCTTTCCCCTCATTGAAAGTCTGTCTTAAGACCTAACTTGTTGACCGTTCTTTTTCATATTTCCCTCCCTCCCCCCTCAACTCTCACCCCCTGCCTGGGTGTCAGCCAGTTCTGTTAGACACTTTTGGGCATCCTCTTAATGTGAAAGGCACTGTATAAAAGTAAATTTGCATTGTTGTAGTGGAGAAGAGTTTTCCTGGTGTACTGGCCAACAGTCTTCCAGATTAGACATTCACCTCATGGCTGTTTGTTGGAACTAACTGCTGCAAATGGATGCTGTGTTTGCCTATAAACAAATAGTCATTGTGCTACACAATAATTGCTTTGAGACATTTTGGTCTTATAGAGCTCAGTATAGACATGGAGGAAAGAAGCAGGGGATGGGATCAGGAGAGCTCTAGTGGGAGAGCAAACACGAACATGGACATGATAGGCCGAATGGCCTCCTTTACTTTAAACCTTCTATGTTTGCATATTAGCTGAGGAACGATGCCCTGAGTGAATTGGTATCAGGCGAGTCTCAATTTATAAAAACCTGAGACACAGAGTGAGAGTTACAAGGAACCAAGTACGGATAATTGGACATGAAAGCGAATGCATACACTCAGTCTGGGTAGTTTCAGTTAACTTTTAATGGGTAACATTGATGCCAGTGTTACAAGTCAGACACCTACAAACTGCATGTAAATGCGAGTACAGATTGCTACTACGCTAGACCTAACAACATAGCAGAATAAATTATGCAATGATTTTTATATACATACATGCTCAACGAAAATATAGAGCTAAGTAGAGAACAAGGAGGATTTTAGGTTAGAGGGAGGAGTTGTGGGGGAAGAAGCTCAGAAGGCAATGATCAGGGAATGATGTAAGAAAAAGCTACATTGGTGTATTAAATGGGATATCAGGTGCCTTTGAGCTGAAGGAAAGATGCATACTCCCCCACACTGCAAGCTCCCATATCGTTGCAGCTTCCCATAATTTTGAAAGCTAGACCTGTTACCTTTCTCATTCTCTTGGTGCTGCTGTTGGTAAATGTGTTCCCAGTGTTACAGATAGATCTCAGCCTGGGTAGTCGGGGCTACAATTCCCTCAGTGTCCTGGGTTACTCTGGGGGAAAATTGACCAGATTTCTGCACTTTAGTTGTACCCAGTTGCTCCCCCTGACCACCAGCCTTCTGGAAAATGCATGATTGGATGTCTGGTGAGGATATTATCAGAGCACAGTTTGTGAAGCCTCCTTTTTATGGTCAAATATCCTGCCCACCCTTGCTATCCCGCTTTCGAAAGGACCACTGGTAGATGCACAACCAAAATAAAAAAGAACATTTTTTGTTATTTATTTGAGACATTTTTCCTCAGTTCAATGTTCACGGTTATTCCCCTCGACTTTTACTGATATTAGTGGGTAGGGGTTGGGTGGGTGGTTGGGTGGGGAGCTGAGATTGTTGTAGCATTCAAATGCTCCAATCTTCTATTCTAACCCTTCCCACGTTAGTCATCATAGCTTCATAGTTCTCAATAAGTAAACCTCCCTTGAAAGGGGGGAGGGGCATCTTATAAAGGACACCTGATATTACATTAAATTCAGTCACAAAAAAACTAGATGGGATTTTCCTTCAGAGGCTAAGAGCATACAATACATTTTTCAATATGGAATGGGAGCGGTCACGGGCAAGGAGTCAGAATCATTCAGTTATTTAACATGCCAAGATTCTATAGAATATGGTACAGTTTTGTAGATTTCTTTTTTTACACAGAGCAAAATGCAAAATCGCAACAGCAGAACAGAATTTTTTTAAAAAAAAGTCATTGATTTTTGCATAAAAGGTTTCAAATACATTGGGGGATAAGTCACAGGTACATTGTGAAAGAGTGACTGATTGCTGAGAGGTTGCTATATATTGTTTTAAAAATCGCAGCTGAGATGGACTGAAGGGAAGTTCGGACTCAACATTTCACTGTACCTTCTGGAAGAGGGGTAGGAGAGAGGGAGAGGGGCAGTCCCTAAAAAGGGAGGGTGGTGGTGGGGGTGGGGGGAAGACTTCTTAAAAAGTTTCTTCAACACTGTAAAAAAAAGTGTTGTTCTCAAAAAGTGCTGCCTCCTCCCCTACTCACCCCCTCTTCCTCCCTCCCCAATCCAAGTCCATCCTTGCTCCTGCCCCGCCTGACAACATTAGATACACAGAGACAACAGATATTTAATTCTGTAGTTCAGGAATGCAAAGGGGAGAAAAATAAATGTAAGCGTGTGTGAGGATTCGTGTTCAGACCATGCTGCTGCTCTGTATTACCCACGCGGAATCTTGCATTTTTAAAAAAAAACATAGACTAGGATTTTATATAACACACAGCACAGATGGATGAGAGGTACTCTTACTATACAGTGGTTTATATAATACTACAAGGATTGTACTCCCGAAATGTAATTGATGCTACAATTAGTTTATTATATACCTTCACTAATCATTGATTTACGATTGCTGTAAATACTGGACCTCGGTGATAGTACAATGTGCACATCAAAAACGGGCTCTTATACGAGTAAAACACTAGGACGATTCTTGCCCCCTCCCAACCTCCCACCCAATACATTTACGAACAGCGCCATCATTTTTTGAAGTGTGTGAATGAACAAAGGCCAATATAAATACTACACACCCTTTGGGCACGCTAATATTAATCTGGTTTTAATCTCAACAAAATCTCTTTCTTCCCAAAACCCATTGAAGGCTTTGCTCTGACATGTGGAGAAGTAAAGGGCTGTACAGTCTATTTCTTGGTTTTAATTGTAGTCCTCTTGGTGACTGGAAATGCATTTTGGGTGCTGCATTACACCGACAAATGGTGGTCCCTTCATTAAAAAACGAAGTCAGATTGGCCAAAGGTATTATTCATTAAGAATCTCTCCACAATGAGACGTCCCCCAAAAAACATTTACCGGTCATGATTTATTCCATGGGTAATATTTTTATCTGGAATGTTTTTTTAATATATTTTGATATAGTTTGTGTGTATGCATGCTATGCGTTTGTCTGCATGTTTGGTCAGTTATCATTGAAAAGTTTTTTTTTATTCCCTGGTGTGCAAGTTATTTTTTTCTCTCTCTCTTAATCCACAGTTGACATCCGTGCTCTGTTGTTTGCAGCAAAAGTGGTCCAACATCAATTTGCACTTAAGCAGCTCCTTTCACGTAAGATGAAGGTCTCGGTGCACTTCACAATGATATGGGGAATCCCCGAAGAAAGAGGATAGGAGAGGGTTCAATGTCAGATTGTGAGTTCTCTTTATTTCTGCACACTGATGCTTCCTGCTAGGGTTGGTTGTCAGCCTCTCACATCAAGTCAGGAAAAAAAGCGGCAGTGAAACGAAGGAAAGGTTTAAACCATTGAAGGAATGTTACACAATTTACAGGAGTCATTTCGAGACTCAAGCGCTTGGTTGGGGGTAAAACCCCGGTTCTGAAGTAACAATGTACCAATAGGCAATGGCAGTTACTTTGTGTGGAGGGAGTGGGGAGAAGCCCACCTGAGAATTCCCCCCAGTCTCAGCCTTTAATTTTTTAGCCATTCTTCAGAGACATTAGGTGACCCCTTGTTTCTTCGATCCCCCTCTCCCCCCACGGATGCACAATGGGGGTGTGTGCTGTTCTCAGTAAGCCTGTCCTGTTTCCACCTGCAGGAGACCCAGGACAGCCGAATGCTCGGTCAATTTCATCCGCCTTTGTGTGGACAGACTCACATTTTTGGTGAGGTAGTCGACTGCACCTGTTCAGAAACAGAAGTAGAACATTCTTAAAATTTTCTTTCATCTCCCTGTAAAATTTCAATGGCTTTGTAATGTGTCCTGGTCAATATCTCTGCCCTACTCAAAATACATTGAATATGACATAATTCCATGGGGCCCTCTGGTATCTTGCACAAGTGCCCTTTCTTCCCCTTTTCCTTTAACAATTCAAAGATTATTTTCAGGATAAGAAGGTTGGTTATTGAGGGGTTGGAATTGTGAAGATTTAAACTCAGATCTACCCTTGTGTCCCAGACAAACTAGGTAGGAACAATTCTTTCCTTTGGTTCAATAACCGAAAACAAGGGGACATAATCTTAAGTTTATAGCGGAGTGCAGCAGAGAGAGTGAAGAGCTGGCACTATGTGATACTCCAGTGACGAGTCCTGATGGAACAATTTTTAGTTATCACCAAAGCCAATTTTCCCACAGGGTTGTGAAACTGTGAAATGAACTGCCTTAGAAGGCATAAGTGCGGAATTGATTGACATATTTAAAAGGAGAGATAGATATTGGGAAAGGAGGGGATTTGAAGAAAAGTTGGGGAAATATGATTAAAAGATTGCTACAATTGAACACAATGGTGGAAGATACTTGGTAGGTTGAATGGGCTACTCCCTTTCTTTCCTCTGTTCCTGGTTACTCTGGATGCCCTCATAAACAACAAGGCATTTCTGTGTTTGAAGGTGTCCTCTTCTGCTTCTCTGGCTAATCTTTCTTTTCCATTATTTAACCTCCCCATTACCCAGCCAACGATTCACTGGGAGAGAGCTGCCACGCAAGGCAACCAGTTTTGATAAAATAAACATATTTTCAGCATCAAGCACTTTGTTACTTTCGTGCCTCAAAGGGGAGCCAGCTTTCTACAGAAAGTTCCATTAGAGAGCTGTCATTTCCATTTAATGTCACTTCATGCTCTTGCGCTCAACTCTTTGATGTCCTTTGGCATCAGTGTGGAGCTGCAACGAGCATGCTCGGTGGCTGAGCGCATCACGGGAATACGGCACCTCGGGATGCTCAGTGATGAGTTGCTGTGCCCCCCCCCCACCACCACCAATAGAGCATTATCAGAGACTGTTCCCCCCTCCCCCATGATCTGTGTCCATAATGTCATTGGTTAGCTCTGTAGCACCAGGTCAACCCTCGCCAAACTTGGTTTCAAACCAGTTCTGAGTTTTTATAGTGATCTAAAAAAATAAGAATCAGCAACTCCTGGTCACATGGGGCAAATTCCCAAGTTTGTTAGGTGAGGAGCTAAGGGCGGTGTTAGAAGATTTTTTTTCGTGCAGTTATGGGAATATAAAAAGTTTGGCTGTGTGGCCATTTTGGATGAGACCATAGCAACATATAAAGAGAATAGGCTAAGTATTTGAAGAGAGACATTATAACAACAACCACCATTTACATTTATATTATACAGCATCTTTCACCTCAGGTCTCAAAGCATTTTACACAACTGACTGAGTGCTTAACGGGAACTGAGAAAGTGACTATGAAAGTTTAAAAGAAAACGTAAGGCAGGTTTTAAAGATGGGGAAATGAGGGGATGAGGGGCTACACGATGGAATGCTACAAAGTGGAGCAGAATGGCTGAAACCCTGCCCACCGACAGTGGGGTAGATCAGGCAGGGGACATGAAACAGGCCGGTGTTAGCTGATTAGACAGAGCAGTCATTATAACAGAGAAAGGACAAATATGAATTTTTTTAAAAAACTGGCAATTCCGTGATGTTTGCCTTTGGGCTGGGTGAGACCCAGGCCTCTGAGATTGAGTTAGGTCTGGACCTTTGAGTCTGGGTTCAGCCCAGGCCTTTGGGGCTGGATTAAGGAGCGAGAAATCAACCAGAGTTCTTGCTATTCGTCACTATCCAGAAAGCCTGCTACTAGCAGGTTACATGTATGGATGTCGAGTGAGGATAAGGACGGGGCTGTGTCACGTCCAAGGTTGATTATCCTACTAACATTCATGTCTGGGCTCGCGCTTGAATAAAGACTATGGGCCTAGTAATGGAGGGTGCTTATGGAAATGTCCCACAGCATGAGTCAGCTACATCAGGAGACAGAAAAAGGGAAACAAAAAGGTATGTATGTTGAAGAGAAATTAAAATAACATTTGGTGTTTCTTGTTTTTCACTATGCCCTCATCAAAAATAAATGATATTATGTACCACAGGTCAGGCAGCTAAAGTTGCTGCTTGTAGCTAAGCAGCAAACATACAAGTCCAGCCTAGATAATGTTTCATAAAAGTATGAAAGTATCCTGTGTCACAAGATAATCTCAGGACTTGATGGGTATGCAAATAGTAGGACTTTGCTCATGACTGGGAGCGATATGGTATAATATTAAACCTTGCATTTGATAAGTGTCTTATCATGTCATTGAAAAGCCTCCCAACATTTACAAAGTGTAGTGGCTGTAATCGTAGGTGAACACACAACCAGGATGTCTCACAAACAATCACAAAGTCAATGATCAATTTTATCTTGGGAATTGTTGTCCAGGACACTGAGAAATTCCTTTTTCTTTTCGGATAGTGCCATGGGATATTTAACGTGCAGAAGGCACCTCGACCTAACATCTCATCCAAAGGATGGCACTTCCAACAATTCAACACTGTTTTGAGTCAGTGTAGACTGTGTGTTATAACTGTAGAAAGTTTACAGCTCAGAAGGAAGCTATTTGGTTTGTTGTGTCTATGCTGGTGCTGGCTTCTCCCCTGGAGCTATCCACTCTAATCCCATTCCCTTGCTCTTACACCATTTTGAATTTGATGAGGCTACTGAGTCCCACTAGAGCTCCCCACTTTGATCCAATTCTGTTCCTTCATCATTATGCCTGTGATGGTGCTGGGTTACTCTACTCTGGAGCTAACTGCTCTAATCCCATTTCCCTGTACTTTGCCCAATACCCTTTAATTTTTTGAAGGTCTTGATAGTGCTGCAGGCGCTATCGCAGGAACTCTGAATGTGTTGTTAACACCCTGACATCGTGGGGTCAGAAAGGGAACAGCCTCAATGGAATGTAGTGCGCGGGCACACACACACACACACACACACACGTACTGGGTGTGACTGACACTTAGCCCTGGGTGCTAGTTATTGGGATACTCACTATCAGGGCTCACTGGCGATTTTATTTATCAACTGCACATGTTTGTTCACATCCAGAGGCAAGTGTGGGGTCAGGGCTCACTCTCAGTGAAAGGGAAAGCTGCTATTGATCCAGACCCTGCAGCAGAAGGTTTCAATTTAATTGCAGAAGTTAAAGACATTAGGGGTAGCTGATTGAGGAAGCAGCGTGGAGAATGGGAGCAGAGGTCGGCGAGGACAAGGCAAGGGCAGGACGGTGAAGACTAAAGGCAAAAGGAAGCACCTTTTAACCCATCCAGAACAACAGAGGGGCAACTAAAGAACATTATTAGTTTAACATCTGAGCCTGTCTCCACACCTTGACTGAGACATATTTATTTATTTAATGTATTGAACACTTTTGCTGCTCAAGATTTAACTGCTTTTATTAGTACTGTATCTGTGGTCATTATCGATTTGCAAAATTCAAACTAATTTAAAATGGAAACTTTCAAAACAAGAGACAAAATAAGACTGAGGTTGTTCACCTCAAAGGAAGTCTTATAGTCCAGGCTATTTCAGTGTTACATTCAAGCTAACAGGCACAAATACATACAGTCCATTCCAATTAAGCTGCAGTCAGGCCATAGTTGGTGCTACATTTGGTGTTACACAAGCTACAGTTAGTGCTGAGTTACTGATCTTAGCAGGAAAGGTGGTCGGAGAGACAATTAGCCTCAGCACTCCCGAACAAGGGAAGGCGTAAACTCAGCCATAGTTTACACTCTTGATTTCTTGCTGTATATATGTATATTGGCCAAGGACAGGGTTGGGACTGAGGAAGGAATATCCTGACGATGCTCACACAGGTGCCTTGGTATGTCCTCCCGACGTGAAAGGGACAATATAAATGCAAATTGTTGTTTGTATTGTTGTTGAAGAATGGCACAATACCACAATCCTCACGTGGCTAGAATTCTGAATAACTTGCCTGCTTTCCCAGTGTCCGTTTAGCCCCCAACTCCTCCCAAAACAGCATGTCAATCACACATCGGCCCTTTTAAGGAAGATTAATGAAAGATAAGAGGTGACAACTTACTTTGTCCGTACTGACTGTACTGGTAGCCAGCCACAGGGTCCATGCTGTAGGCGGTTGTGCTATAGGTAGGGGTGCAGTAAGACTGCGAGGTGGGGAGACTCTCCACCCCCTTGATGGAGTCAGAACGTTGGCTGCAGCTGGCGGACAAAGAGTTTGAGGTGTCCAGGCCGCCGTGGAGGGGCGAGATGGAGAAGTCATGCTGGCTCTGCGATTGGACAGCACTTGGGTTACTCAAAATACTCATCACCTGCTTGAGAGAGGGAGAGAAGAAATTAGTAATGGCAGGAGCCATGGCAGAGGGTACGAAAGTATCAGGATGTACTCTTCAAATGACTACTATCAGCCTGGCACACCGGTAAAACCGTTACCTCTGGACAGAGGTTGTGGGTTCAAGCACCACGTTGAGACTTGAGCTCATAGTTTTGGCTAACAATCCAGTACAGTACTGGGGAGCACTACATTGATCCAGATTTAAAAAGCAAGTCAGTAGAGAGTGAAGCTCAGGACCTGAGCGCTGTGTAACTTGTCCCTTCAGTCTTCTTTACAATCTGGCTAGGTGTGGGACATTGTTGTGGGCAAATTGGCTGTGCATACCTGCTCTGCCTCCTATGGGGAAAGTTACTTCAAGTTCTATACAGATGTTCCCTGATCCCCAAAGGCAATTATGCACATACAGTAAGTACTTCAAAAATTCCTGCTACACAGTCACACCACTGCAATTCCCTGTGAAGCGTTTTGAGAATGTTTTCACATCATCGATGGCATATTAAATTCAACGATTATTAATTGTATTATTCATCTCATCCATCACTTTCCCATTGATCAACTCCTAACTCCTCCTTCCACATGCAAATAACAATCACAGAAACCACGATGATTTCTTTTTCTCTGAATCTCAAATTAAACTGCAATGAACCATCAGCCAGGAAGCAGTTAAAAGCTTGGCTGGTGGTCACGGTATGTGGACATTTAAGAGGAAAGATGGTGAATGAGCGTCGAGAGGCACAAATAGGACAACATAAAACTGCTTAAAACCAAAGCAAAAACTTTACATAAAAAAAACACTTTCCCTTCCAGCACTCCCCCCCCTCCCCCCCCCCCCCCCCCCACACACACACACCCCTCCCCACTACGAGAGTTAATTCACTAAATGGGACACACGATTGGTGAACAAAAATTAATAATCCTCCTCACATCTGCAATATTTGATCTGATGAGAGCTGGTGGGCAGAGGGTTGGTGGAGAGTTAGCTGCAAACCAGCCAGCTGCCAGTCACAGTGATTGACAGGGGTCCTGCATAATACTCAGCTCAGAAGAATCATAACCAGGCTTGGAAGATTACTACAGGAGGGGTAAGGACTTCGCCTTGGAACCCTCGATAACTTTCAACAGTCTGTATTAGTTGATGTTAGAGGATACAGGGCGAGATAAGGCAGCGAGGTGACTTGCACAGTGTGTTACTAGCCACCCTCAGGCTACCTGGCATTTTTTTCCTGGGAGATAGCCTCTTTTTTTTAAACAGAAAAAAAAGAAAAGTAATTAATTCTGACAACTTCTGAAGCGCTCAGCCTCTGGGTCCTGTTAATCTGAGAGGATCCAGCATTTAACCCACGCAAACAGCCCTGGGGGTACTTCGGAATGGGCTGCTTGATGCATTTCTAGGTATTTCTGTTATAGGTATTTCTCCACGACCCTGGAGTCACCCCCCAAAAAAGGATCCCTATTATAATAAGATTCTCGAGATTGAAAGAGGACTTTCACATCATACAACAATTATGCAATTGTTCTGAAAGAATTAACTTTATGATCCATCTCAACTTACCAATAATATCACAATGATCCCATACTCTTCCCCCCCCTCATAGAAGAACGAGCCATGATGAGGCTTTTGACTCTAATCTATTGCTCCCTCTGCTCCACCACTGGTGGCTGAGCCTCCAAGCCCTGTCCTGTGGCACTCTTTCTGTAAACCATTTGCTTTGCTTCTAACTGACATTGCTTTTCAAGCCTTCCAAAACGACCCACCTCTTTGTCCCTTGACTTCGATCCCATCTGCATCCCTCCCATTTCTTGCTGGGCATCCACAACGTCAATGGGTAAATGTTTTGAGATGCTTGTTGGCGTGAATGGGACTACATAAATACAGGCTGTAGCTGCTGGTAGAGGTTACTGAGCTCAGCAGTGCGAAGGGGCTGGAGTAAATACAGCAAAGTCACTACCTGCACCTCCTGGGAGGAGTTATCAAGGTTAATACGAGGAAACTGAAATAATACTGGAGAAAATAAGCAGTGACACGAGATGCTGGGAGAGTACCAGAGCTTGAAATCCTTCAAAAACTAAATCGTCTCCCCTCCACCCACCCCCAACATTCCTTAAAACAGTAAAATATTCATAAAACATGGTAAAAGTGCAGCAATTTGCATAAAGCCATCCGTGGACGACAGAATTCAGGAGCAATCGTTCGTGCTTAGAACTTAACTTGCAGTGAAGCTTTGCAAAAGTAATACAAAGTTTGTGATCACTGATTATCAACGACCTGAGGACACCGGGACTTAAAGTGCATTTGTGATTTTGTTTTGCAAATTTTTTTTTGGTGGTGGGGCATCAGGAGTGGAGCTGTTATTTTGAATTTACTGGCATCACCTAATGACATCTCGTTGGCATGGTTTACAAGTGCTGAAATCCCTTCCTAAAGATGTCATCCTTTAAACAATGTCATGTGAATTAAAATCCTGGTTCTGAGAATAATGAAAGGGGTTATTATTGTTGTCTGGATGAAGGCGTTTCTGCAGCAAGTTTCATATTGAAAGAATTTTGCTTTAGTGCCTTGTCACTAAAAAGAGTGAATGAAGCACGTTAATCAAAATCAAAATGCCAGTCGAAGGGAACTGTTTTCCTGAAGGTTTTTGAAAGCAGCAGAAAGAAGTGAAACACAGACATTTTGGGAAAAAGGTTGCAGGGAACAAGGGTGAGTGATGGATGCCTCGGCTGATGGTTCTGGGATGAAGGAAATTAAGAACAAGCGATGGGTCAGTAAGCAGATTTGTTGCCAAGATTTGATGATTTAGTTTACGAGTTAATTAGATTGAAGCTGACTGCAGTATAAGTGGTTTGAGGAAGGTACAGCGACTCTCTCTGTTTACTCCCCCCTTCCACTCATCAGCTCTGTTTAACTTTAGGACATTATTCTGACCAAATTAATTTCAGATTGCTTGCAGAGTTTATGTGCAGAGAGAGAAAGAGAGGTGAGGTATGTGAATTCTCAGCCCTTACAATAATTAGCAACAGGAGCTGTTGTTTTTCTGACCTGCATTTGCAAAAAAAGAGCAGGGATTCAGCTGCTGGCTTCTGTTTGCAAATCATTTTGATTAAGGTTTAAAGTTCTCTTTCTCTGTCTGCTTTTCTCTCTCTCTCTCTCTCTATCTCTCTCTCAGCCTGCCACAGTGCGTTGACTCCTCACAGAACCCCCTGCGGACACAACTAATAGACTGCACCCAGCAATTATTGGATCTAAACAAGATTTCCTGAGATCTTTCGAGTCTCTCTGTGGTTTCAATAAACGTGAAAGAGAGTCCCAGTACAAAAGGGTGGCAGTGCGGTCGATGTGCCTGAGGCTTTGGTGCGTGCAGGACTGATAGGGTTGTGTAGTCAAACCTCTGCTTTCCTACATCAGTCAAGTCCTGTAATCTATATCTGGAGAAAGAGAGTGTGTCTGTCTCTCTCTCTCTCTCTCTCTCTGTGTGTGTGCGGGGAGGGAAGGGCAGGAGGAAGCGAGCATTAAGTTCTTTTTTTAAAAAAATAAAATTAAAACACAAACAAAATGCTTCAGGGGGAATATTGCAAAGCGAGAAAGGTCACAAGCAAATAATATTGGGAGTGGGGGAGAGATGAGTCGGTTCCTTTTGAAGGAAGGAGTCTAGAAAACTGTGGCTTCTGGATCTGACACAGAATGTTTGCAATTCACAAGCCGCTAATTTCGTAGTCAAATTACCAATGAAACTGTGACCAACATAGTTTATTCCAATTAGATGAAAACCTGATATCCCAGAAACATTCAGTGAAAGGCTGCCTGAACTCGAGGCACAAGCAAATAATACAACCAATTTCAACGTAACACAACACCTGAGAAGCTATCACTGAGGGAAATTTAATTCTCAATCTCTTAATTTTTTTTTAAATCGACTGAGGTCCTGCTCAGAACCACCACTTATAGGTCAATAGTGGTTCTGGTGTTGCTCCGAAACTCTGGAACGTGCTCCCTCTATCCCTCCGCCTCGCCTCTTCCTTCCCCATCTTCAGATCGTGCCTGAAGACCTTCCTCTTTGACCGTGCCGAACGTCACCTTCCCCCTCTCCCCTGGCTCAGCATTGTGCTCTGCCACTGTCAAGCGGTCTGGGACACTACCCTGTATGAGAAGCACGATATAAATGCAAGTTGTTGTTGTTGTTACCCTGTGGTTGGTAGTTAAATTCTGGGGGTCGCCAGTCATCTTCTCGACGGGATAATCAGACTTGGAATTTCCTACAGGGAGTGAAGTAAAGGACTGTGAATGGGAGTGAGCAGTCTTCAGGCTTGGGATTTGGGTCAACAACAACTTTCATTTACATAGCACCCCTCATGCAGGGAAGTGTCCCATAGTCCTAGCAGAGTTATGGATAGTAGCCCTGGACAAATGGATTTGAGGGCACAAAATGGATTTATTAGGATGGAAGGGCATAGGTCTGATCCCCGGTCTGTGGTGAGTTAGCTGATCAGAGCCTCAGGTAACAACTGGGACTAAAATAAGCCTCAGCGCCCATGGATTAGGGAGGAGAACTGTTCCCCCTCCTAATAATACTATGCTTTGCATTTGATATAGCGTCTTATCATGTCTTCGAGACGTCTCAAAGTGCTTCACAGAATCTGCTGTGAAGTGATTCAGTAAAGTGACTGTATATTTTGTGGGCGACATGCAGCAGCCAATCCCACAAATAGTCGTGGATTGAGTGACAATTATAAATTTTTAAATGTTATTTTTGAAGAGCTTATTACCTTCAGAAAAGTGATACACCAATCAACTAACAACCAGGTTCCTACTTACTGAAAGGTAAACAGAGGTGTGTGGAGTAAGGAAACTTGGCTTGCCCAGGAATCGAACCCAGGACCTCTCACTTGCGAGACAAGTGCTCTAACCAATATGCTACAGGACTCCTAATGGATATTCAGACCCCTGGTGGAAGGTTTGAGTGGGTGGACTTCAGTTGCTGA